GCTCAGTTCTTTAAGAAGCTCGTGGAAAAAAGTAAGCTTTTGTTTTCTTGAAGAAGAATGTCATTACATTTTTTTTTTCTAAAAATGTCTCTAGGAAATGAAGTATGAATAACTTTTTAGAAAGAACCATCGGTTGATATTTATAGTTTTGAGTATTTCACATCTGATTTTCAGGATAAAAATTACATATTTTTCATGAGAAAAGCTTTGTAAGTCAGCTTTGCTCTGAACATATATCCCTTGAATTATCTTATTTGAAAAGATTTTGAAATTTGAAAGATCATAACTAGAACTTATTCTAAGTAGTATTTTTTATTATTCGAAAATTTCATAACATGTATACTGGTATCCTGATAATATCCACCTGGAATCTACCTCTCCAATTCCCCATGGACTCTCAAACACACGTCTCCCTTACAACTTCATGTTGTCCTTATCATCATCATCTTCATAATTATTGTTAGTTTAGTCCTCCAAGTCCAGTTACAACTGGCCATGTACACATGGATGTGAGATCATCCACTAGGAGTATGGGCAGCCTACCATGAGTTACACTTCTAAAGAAAAGTTACTCTTCTTCCCTCAACTGCCAATAGCTTCACAGCTCAGGTGGGACCTCAGTGGTCTCTCCCTCCTCCATGCTGAAATTTTTATCTGGCTTGGTCTTGTGCAGGTAACCACAGTTGCTGTGAGTTACATACACAACAGCCATGTCATGTCCAAGGACAGCACTTCACAACTCTCCTCCCCAATCTCCAGTTCTTTCATTCTTTCTGCTTCCTCTTCCACAGTGTTCTGTGAGCCTTGGTGGGGAAGGGGGCAGGTTGATACAGATCTTCCATCTATGGTTACACACTTCCAGCCATTTATACAATGAGAATTCATTTTGTGCTATAGCAAAGGCCATTATTTAATGACTAGGATATCTCAGTTACTATTATGTTTTCATGTTTAAGTGACCTCTAAAATATACAAATAGACATTTGTCTCATGTGAATAAATTTTAAGGAAGGTACCCTAGGGTTCAGTAGTGGGTTTTACACTTAACAGAGACCCAAGTTCATTCAAGTCTGTTCCCGGTCATGCCAAGTGTTACATGGATATAAACTGTTCCAAGATGGCTGCTGGGATTCCAGACATTATATGTATGTTCTTAACATCAGCACCTATGATCCTAGCACTTGGCAGGTGGAGGCAAGAGATCATGAGTTTACACTCAGTCTGCAATAAATGCTCAGAGCCTGTCTCAAAAGAAAAAAAACTCAAGTCCCATCAATATGTCCACTAGCTACAAAAGAACTCATAGACTTTTAGCTGAAAAACATGCCCAGCTAAAAATTAGGGCTGTATTAGCCAGGGGAGTTGGGCAGCATGGCTTTTGGTAAGTAACAAACTACTTCTGCCAGACTCTGGGAGGGATATTACCTCATTTGCCACAAGCTTCAGTGTAAGTGAGGATATTTGCTCCTTTTGAAAAGCACGATTTCCCAGGTAAGAAAGTGCAGAGGGTATATTAGGAGACTGTACTCTCATGAGAAGCTAGAGAGAATGGAGGTTACTGAACAGGGTAAAAGAAAGACACAAAAATCAAACCCTATTTGCCTTTGGATTGTGGCCATTCAGGAGGAGCTTCAACTTTTTTCTTATATTTTTTTGTCCATTTGAAAAATTTGAGTTCTAAACTTACAGAAAAGAAGCTGTCTCACATGCTAATTATATTTATTTTAAAGGATTAAGGTAGTTTTAAAAGACCTGGTCATACTTTTGGTTGCTTCCAATAATTTTTTTGTTTTAAGGAAACACTATTTAAAAGCAAAATGGGCTCTGAATTCCCACAATAATTACACTCAAATTTGTGTTTGTTTCTCCCTCCTCATGAACCCTAAAGGGAGTGGGAAAGGACATAATCTTGATAAAATGTGAGCCCTCCAAGGTGCCCCTTAAATGTTCACTTTGCAAATATGACTAAAATTCAAGCATGTCTCCACAGATGCTTGGGGTAAAGCTGGCTGGCTTTACAAAGCGCTTCTCTTTATGTACTAGCAACATTGTTTTATGATGTGTCTGAGTGACAGGACAGTTTGTTTACGTGAATTAAAAATATGTATTGAGTGTTTCTAGCACGTTTGCCTTAATAACCAACTTCCAGGGCAAGATAACCAACCATCCTTGCCCTGGCACACTGCCTTAGCAGACTCAGCAGCAGGGACGTTATCTGTTATCCACTGCTCCTCGGTTCCCTCAAAGTTCACTCACTTCTAGGTACCTCATCTCTTTTACTTTCATACCTTCACTTGTGGTGAGAAATGTCTGTAGGAGAGGGACGCAGCGGAGGATTAAAACGGGAATCTTAGGACACTTCATTCCCCTTGGTGCAGAGACTGTTCATAGCCCACTCATGTTCCTGTGCTGTAAGGACAGCGGAGAAGCAGCTGCAGGCTGAACACCCTCTGGCCTCACTGAGTAGTCTTCACGATCACCCTGAGTCTCTTGTAAAGAGAGACTTAACAGGTCATTCCTCATACACCTCTACCCGGCACTCAACCCCTCCCGGGCCCAGTTATATAGATGAGCCTGAAGAGGTTGGTAGGTTGAGAGAAAGGGTGTGTTGCGCCTCACCAGAAGAAACTTCTAGCAAACCATATTTAGAGCAAAATTAAATGACCCCTTCTCGTAGGGAACATCCTTGTCTTTGGGAGCGCTTGTCTCTCTATGCTGTTTTTTCCATCTGTGCGCTCTCCGCCCACCTCTCTTTGCTTCTCGGAAAGGGAACACCAGAGGCTGGAGAGAGCTTAGTCGACTGCCCAGGAGGCATATGAATAGTGTATTAAAACGGGGCTGGGAACTAATGGGAAGAAGCTCCGTGGAATGCAGGCCGAATGGATAATGGAAAGAGCTGCACGCAGGAGCCAGCGAGAACTGGAATTGAACTCCAGTTCCGTCATTTAGAAACTCTCTTGGACACCGTACATGTCTTCTCTGAGTTGCAGTTTGTTTATAAAACTGAATAATAATATCTGCCTCATCATCATGTCAGAATTAACTGAGTGATGTACATGAAAACGAGCGCAGAGTTTGGCCCACAGTTGGCATTCAATAAATCTTAGTCTCTTACCCTCGTGAGAAGGGATAGCATTGTTGGGGTAGGTCACAGGGCTTTCTCAGTATTCTACTGAGAATTGACTCTCTCTCTCTCTCTCTCCCTCCCTCCCTCCCTCTGTGTGGGTGTGTGTATGCACATGTGGGTAGGGAGGAAGAGGGTCACAGACCGAGACAGACAGATGGAGAAGCAGTTTAAAAGAAGAGAGCCCATTTTATTGCATTGACTTCCCTAATATCTTTCACTCCTTCCACTGTCTGTAACTTCCTGGTATCAGGGAAAATGGATAACTGGGTCAGAGTAGCCAGTAGCTCTGGGTATTTTACCCACATGCTGATAAAAGGTAGTGAGATCTCTCCACCGTGCTCCCCACGTCCCCTATCCCCCGTCTCCACGCTCCCCCTGTTCCCTAGCCCACTGTCTTTTCTTAGGGTACTGAGCCAGTGCTCCGCCTTCCTGAGTTTCATTTTCTGTGCCGGCCACTCTGCTTGCAGCCAAACACATTCTTTGGCTGCCACGTGTCAGCACTGCTGTCTCAGGGGCTGTCAAAGTGAAGAATCGTTTCATTCTCTGTGCCAGATCTGAGCTGATCTTCTAAACGATGAAGCTTCGGGCCTCTCTTGGCACCTAAATACAGGAACCGGGCTCAGATCTCACAGTTCTTTTCATCCATTGTAACCCTCATAACTGGGTTTTTCATATTCCACGTCTAAGCTCATGTGTTTGCTGACAGTGGTGAGGCCCAGGTCAGGTGCTTCTCTGGAACCTAAGTGGATGCTTTCAGGCTCCAACCCTGACTCAGTGACCCAGGAAATGAGACCTGGAGATTTCTGAAAACAACCTTCCTTAGAATTAGGTTGTTAACCCACAGTAAAATTTACTCATAATTTTCCCCAAGAAAAAAAAAAATTCCTTCTGCTTCTGCCCATAATGAGATCTCATTACCCCATCAGCCTTTCCTTCTAGTTTGTTTGAGAAAATCAGAGACCATGTTTTTCTTTCTGTCTTTACAAAACCTGGTTGGTAAGCATACATATATAAAAACAAAATAAATATGACATGTAATAAAAGAGCATCAAGCAATGCCCAAACATCTTAGTTCCAAGGAAGATATGCAGCTACCAAATCTGGGTTCTTTGCTTCAAATCCATAAATATGCAAGAAGCCTTGAATGCTACATATCTCAGTGCAGACTGTCACCTCCAATACTTGACGCATTTCAACAAAATTTGTTTCACATGATAAATAGTAAAAAAGAAAAAAAAAGCATTGTTTTTAAAGAACAGTGTGAGTGTCACCTCAAATATTGGACACATCCCAACAAAATTTGTTTCACTTTTAAATAGTGCTAAAACCAAGGTTTTTTTGTTTTTAAGAAGCAGTCTGAGGAGCCCGCTGTTGTCACAATTGTCAGAGGGATCTAGGGTACTGAAGGGTCGGGACTCTCTGAAGGAGGGGGTTTGTGGGATTGGGAAGGTTTTCCCCAGGGTCTGTTGATTCTTTTCGTCTTTGTAGTTTTCTGTTCTGTGGCTATGCCATCCTGGACTCCGCCTCTTGGCATGTGTCACCCATGTCTATGGGAGATCATTTTCAGCCGCCTTTGTGCATAATTTTGCTCTGATAATTTCAGTTCCCTGCAATTTGTAAATGAATTATTCCATTCAGGTGGACGTTTCTTGAATATTTCTAATGTATAGGTTACTAAGCTAGTCAAAGAGACTACATGGCCAATTAAAAAATACTGCCTTTTATCAGTTTATGAGCTAAGGTGTATGTGTGTGTGAATGTGTGTGTGTGTGTGTGTGTGTGTGTGTGAGAGAGAGAGAGAGAGAGAGAGAGAGAGAGAGAGAGAGAGAGTCTGTGTAGTAACTTCTTGATTTATGTTCCCCACTCCTTACAGATCTTGGAGACATCTGCGGCTTAATGGGGACTTTCCAACATTCCAGACTGCTGTCCTACAATGAAGCTCTGAGTCACTGACCCAAGTACTGGCAACAATGTGGACACCTAGGACAGCCAGCGTCAGGCACCGTCAGTGTAAGCAGCAGCCCAGAGCTAGTGTGGCCTGAAACTCCAGCAAGCGCTAGAGAAAGCCTCCCGTGTTCATGGAAAGAGGAAAGGAAAGTATTCCCAGCCAATCACAACGACCTTTCTGCGGTTCCAAGGAGCCCACCTTCCTTATCCATCAGGCTGTCCTGCCTAGAGATTTCCACTCGACCCTTCTGCCAGAAATACAGTGTGGAGATCTCACTGAAAACAGAAAGACCAACGCTCAGAAAAGGAGACCTGGAACAGTGATACTATCAAAACGCCCAAGTAGAACTATGTCAGGAAGCCAGCCTAGCCCTCCTGTGATCCCACCCCGCAGACCGGGGTTCCGGATATGCTACATCTGTGGCCGAGAGTTTGGGTCCCAGTCACTTGGCATTCATGAACCCCAGTGCCTGGAGAAGTGGCGCATTGAGAACAGCAAACTGCCCAAGCACTTGAGGAGGCCAGAACCCTCCAAACCACAGCCCATCGGTGGCAGTGGCTCCTACAGCCTTCAGGCAGCCAACGAGGAGGCATTTCAGAGTGCACAGGCTCAGCTGCTCCCCTGTGGCTACTGTGGCCGCACATTCTTGCCAGATCGTCTCCAGGTTCACCAGAGAAGCTGCAAACCAAAGGGTGAGAATCCCAGAACACCAGATACGGATGGTCCTGATGTTCCTAGTGGTCTCAAGAAAGCTTCTAGCGGCATCCCAGCCCGACCAAGGACTCTCATCTGTTACATTTGTGGTAGGGAATTTGGCACACTGTCCCTTCCTATCCATGAGCCCAAATGCTTGGAAAAGTGGAAGATTGAGAATGACCGGCTCCCTAGAGAACTGCGTAGGCCACTGCCCCAGAAGCCCCAACCCCTTCCAACTGGACAGCCTAGCCAAGAAGGGGCCAGTGTAGCTGCGCTTGTGCCTTGCCCAAACTGTGGCCGGACCTTTGCCCCAGACCGCCTACCTGTACACCAGAGAAGTTGTAAATCTCAACCCAATGGGCAAAAAATTCCAGATTCGAACTTAGAAAGGAAAAGCGGCCCAAATGTACCCACCAATTCCAAGCAACAAAGGAACGTGGCAGCAGGAAATGAGGACAAGGTAACTGATGTGGTATAGGATAAAGTAGGTGGACTGGGGACATAACGCATCTTCAAAGGGATGAGAGAATTGTTCCCAGAGCCAGCCACCTCAGCCCCAAGGATGGTGTCTCTCAAAGCCTTACTTGTGTCTCAAGGCAGTCTGTCCAAGTGGATCTCCTTTTGAACTCCAGGGCCTGTGTCTTTTTTGGCAAAGCAGACCTAACAACAACACACTTGCCTGGTTGGTTCATAATCCTCTCCAGTCCTACAGCCTAAAAGAGATGGACTTTTTTTCCCCCTCTGATCCCTCATCCCAATAATCCCCGGGAGAGACTGTTACTTAAAATGAGTCATTAATGCTGTGTCTACATTACAGAGATATAATTCCCATTCCAACAGCCAATGTTTATTGCTGGTTTATTTTAGTCATCTACCTTAGGAATTCAGCTTTGGCAACGATGGGTTATGCTGAGTTTATCTTACTAAAATAGAATCTGTGTCAAAAACCCCAAATGACTTTAGCAATAACTAAACACTGGGGTACTTGCTAGGGTCTATGTGTTTTGCAGATGCAGTATGATTTCATTTAAGTCATACATGATTATAAGTGTGTGTGTGTGTGTGTGTGTAGTGGGGGGTGAGGGTTAACCCCAGCATGGATTCTGAAACAACTAGATATGCAAGCATGGTTCTGGGTAGAGCCCAGTCCTGTGTTTTTCTGTACACTTTGTGGACACTGTTCATTGAATCGGGTCCCCCGACCTCAGTCATTCTAAACAAGCATGAACTCAGGTGTCATCAGCCTATAAGGTGAAAGTTGTTGGCATTTTTCCTGGGGTGTCTCCATCAGGAGGATTGAGTGGGGACGCTTATGAAGGCTGCTAACTGAGCAATAGAACTTGGTACATGCTCTTTGTTCCGCTGTTAAACCAGGACACTGGCCTGTCACATCTCACATGTCAAACTGTAAGAAATAGGAGGTGGTCTTTTCTCAGGGCTATTTGAATTCCAAGAATGCTCAGACCCCCTAATCACACACTCTTGACAGCAGCCTTTAGCTAGATAATGTTTTTAAATGGAGCAGTTTAAGGAAACGAATGTTATTCAAACTGTTATTAAACTGGAGTGATAGGGGCACATCTTTTATTGTGATCTAGCTTCTCTTGGCTTTATTTTTTTATTACTCTGAGGACTGTCTAGTCTTGTTCCTAGTTTCCATGACTAAAAAGCACAGACTTACTGGTTTTGAAGATTCCATGACAGTGATCCTAAAGCAGAGAAGTTAGACTAACATGCTGGACAGTTTTTCCAGTGACTATTGAAGAAAGAAAAAAAAAATTCAAACGGCTAAATTCCTGCCTGATGAAAACCCAAATGCTTAAGTGTGGCATGGGCTCCAAGTTGGTCTCATAAGCCCGATCTGTTTTTCCTATCTTCTGTCTGTTGCTTTTCTTCCAATATGTGTGGGGTCTGGAGTCAGAGAGTAAAAGAATCTGTGTCTCGGGGCCACCAAGCAGCAACCCTCCTGGCATTCTGACTTAGAGCCTGCTTCTTGACTGCATGCATTTACATCAAACATTCTCATCACAGACCTAGAGCTAGGGAGGAGTGTGGTCGGCATTCTCGTGCTTATTGTCGTAACACATACTTCGTGCTCCAAGACTGGAGTCAACAGGCTGAGTACAACATGTTCTCCCAGTCACAGCTGCTAAGACAGACTGACCGGGCTGGCCCAGGGTGTCACAGAAAGACATCTTCCTCACCCTTCCAGTTCCCTGGAGGAGAAAATGTCTGCAGAAGCCAGTGGTGGCTTCTCTATGATATCTGCATGTATGTGAGAGTCCAGGGAAGCCCCTGGAGGACTAGATGTTGTCAGTGTGCACCCAAGCCCTCAAAGGCCTAGCCTTGCTGTGTGTCAGTAAAAAAGTGACACCCATCACTACTAGCTACCATATAAGGCCTCGGAAGACACTGCAAGGTCATCTAACCGAGGGTTCATAGTCAGATTTAAATTAAGCTTAGGTTAATTAAAATGGAGCACATTTTAGACTTCACTAAAGCATAAGATTTTTTTGGAACTGATGGGTGTGATCTGTACCTTCAGACATTGTTTTCAAGATGCATTCAGAAGAAAACCTTTCTGCTTACTGTACCTTGCTTTCTTGATCCTATCTGTTGAAATTTTAGCTTCTTTATACCATTTACAACTTCATGCAATGAGTCCCTCATTTTTCATAGAGCGCTGACCTATACATTATTAGATTCTGGGGCTGTATCTGCCTGTAACCGCTGTCTTGTGGCTGACTGAAGTGTGTGTGCTTTGCTCTTTAGAACATGGATGCTTGCTTCGTCTCTTTCTCTTGTTGACTGGAGCAGTCTTACTTTGGAATTCTTGATCTGACTTTGGGTTAGCATCAGCCCCCTTGCCAGATACTCTCAAGGGGCTCAACCTGAATTCCAGAGAGGAAAAACAAGTTCACAATGGGAATAGAATTTGCTCCAAGTGGGTGACAGTGACTTTCGCTGGCCAAGTGCAGTGTTTCTCAGAACATTCCTCTACTGTAGACTGGTTCTGCCTTCCCTTGGGATGCAGCTGCTATTGTTTGCCTTCAATCAAAGAGAACAAAAATAAATGCCACCGAGAGATCTAAGATCTGCTGGGAGATCTAAGTGGGCATCTTGCTTTGTTCTTCTAGGAACTCAAATTCTCTTGCTACTTATGATCTGAAGTACAGAGCCAAATCTATACTCTTGGTGATCTCACAGAAAAAGGAACTGAAGTTACAGACGGTTGTGAATTTTGCTGGTAACACATTAAATGTTCCTAAAACTCCTGCTTTATGTCGCAAAGCAGACATTATTTTTATTAAGGGACACTATCTTTTCTACAGAAGAATGTCTCTCTGAATGTGGCTCTAGCAGTGTTTAAGGGGCATAAAACCCTAGTGTGCAATTACGTAAAAGTGTGACTGTCCTAGGGCCATCGTTGTCTGGCTCTGTGTTGTAACAACCAGCATTGTGGTACTTCCTTCCTCTGAAGAAAAGCTTGGATGAGATACACCTAGTTTAAAATTGTTATTAACTTTATATGAAGTTTTGATGCACAGTAAAGATACAGGTTATTGTTTTGATTTTTAATATTGTGTTTGATTAATCGAATATTCCAATACTCATTTTGTAAGTGATTTTTCTATTACAACTGATGAAGACTATAATAGAGGCCATTGTTAGTCCTTATTTTAAAATGGAATAAATGTGAACATTTTGGATCCTTTTAGAGCCTGATTGTTACAGTCTTTAGCTTCGGACCTGTTTCAGTTACTTGGAGCCCAGGATGATAGTTAAACACATAATTATAAACCCAAATGCAGTCTTTGCCCAATGACCTTCACTAGGTAAGACTAGGGGGTTATTGTCTTAGAATTTTGCTGGTAACACATCAAATGTTCCTAAAACTCCTGCTTTATGTCGCAAAGCAGACATTATTTTTTATTAAGGGACACTATCTTTTCTACAGAAGAATGTCTCTCTGAATGTGGCTCTGAGTTCTTTTGGCATCCCCAGGGCTCAGGTTGCAACTGGAAGTTCCTCACACATGCCACTAGCATCTGGTGCTGCCATCTGCTGTTTCCTTTGAAGGTCTTCTACACTATCAAATATGGGACTCCCTTGCTCCTTAAAAAAAAAAAAAAGATTTATTTTTATTATTGTTAATTATGTGTATGTGGATGGGTGTCTATGTGTACCTGAGTGAAGGTGCCCAAGGAAGCCAAAAGTGTTCAACCCTCCCTGCGGCTGAAGTTACAGGTAGTTGTCAGCCATCTCCTGTGGGTACAGGAATCAGAACGTGGGCCTCCGTGAGAGCAGTAAGTGCTGTTGACTACTGAGCCATTTCGCCGGCCACTGTTCCTCTTTTTTTTATTTTTATGTGTGTGAGTGTTTTACTTTCATGCGTGCATGTGCACCGTATGCATACCTGGTTCCCTCGGGGGTCAAAAGAGAAGATCACATCCCCAGGAACTGAAGTTAGGGACGGTTGTGAGCCATCATGCAGGTGCTGGGAGTCGAGCCTCAGCTGTCTGTAAGAACAACAAATGACCTTAACCACTGAGCCATCTCTCCAGCTCCTCCAGTGCCTCTTTTTTTTTTTTTTTTAACTTCCAAAATTTTGAGAAGGTACCATTATAATACAACCGCAAACTCATGTTATTTGGTACTATGGTTACATTACATTTGGAGTTAGAGGTGCTGTTTTCTGGCGAAGTTTCTCATTCCTTGAAGGCAAACTATTGGATGGGACTGTCACAACAGGGAAGGCCGAGCAGATATTTATTGCCTCGTTTTCATATCTGCGAATCGACATCTGTTAAATCGAAAAAATATGGCAGTTTAGGGACAGGAATGAAAAAAATATGAACTATTTTTATTCAGTATTTTTACTTAGTAGCATTCATCCATGCTACTATGACAACTGCCTGAAACAGAGTGATTTATGAAGAACATTCAAGTCTCACATTCTGCAGACAAGACAGTCCAAGATCAAGGTACTAGTAACACCATTGCCTAGGAGGGATGTTGTCTGTGTCCAAGATGGCGCTGTATGCTGCTTCTCTGGAGTGAGCAATGCTTGTCTTCACAACAGGAAAACAATGGAAGGGCAAGGACTCATTTGCTTCAACTTTGAAGCCTTTTATAAAGGTGTTAATCTTATTCACAAAGGTGGAGTCCACACAGCTCAATCACCTCCCACAGACTGAACCTCAATATGTGTTCTACTGAAGATTACAGTTCAGCCTGACTTTTAGAAGGGACTCCATCACTCAAACTGTTGTTTTTTTGTGATCAGCTCTTTGTATCTTTGTGTGTATAATCTACTTTAAATTTTCTTGTGGGAAGTTTTAGGTTAAGCCATTGCCCAGAGTTAGGCAGCAGGTTCAAAAGTGGGTGCTAGAGTCAGTTCAAAATCTAAAGCAGTACATCTTTTAATGTCTCTGTGAAAGAGCATAGAGTGATATAAGCAAGGATCCAGAGGCATGGTGGGACTTAGTGGTAGAGTAACTGTGGTTTGAATTCTAAGTATGGAAAGGTGGGAACATGATTACCCTGCAAAGCCTGAGCATTAGGTAAGACGAAGAAGAAGGAAATCTGCTGACTTACCAATATTTATCATTAGACATTGGCCTAAGCATTAAGCACATACTCACTAAAAAACTGTAGACCTAGCTCTTGGTCCTATGAGGAAATGATTGGAAATTTTAAAATATAATCATATAGTATCAAATTTTGATAGCACAGTGTGTTGTGGTAGGAGACAACATTTATGACCTTAGCTAGAGAAAACCTCAAGGGAGATAGATACTTCAGCTGATACCAGCATTAACATAGCAGGTGTGGAGTGAGGGCAAGGCTGTAAAGGGAGACTGACTGCACTCTGACCTAACAGTGGAACTAAAGAGCCCATATGTGGCTGGCATCTAAGGGGGATGATGGAGCATAAGAAGATGCTGTAGGGGTGGTATCAGGGCAGTGGTGATCCCTCAAGCTGCCCTCCACAGAGCAGGACACCAGTTTAGCTATATCAGGAATCCAGTGACTGATTGTAGACTTGGAGATGAACTATGATGGGCAGATCTTGGTGAGGACTGAAATGTGGAAGGATGAAGGAGGCCAAGGAGAAGGCCCAGACCTTTAGCAGGAGCACCAGCTTTAGTTGTGCCATTTTCTAGGAAGGAAAGGAAGGTTCTAGACAGCTAGGATCGGTGGTTTCATTCTGGAAATGCCAAATCAAAATGCTACTGAGATATTAAAGTAACTTGAGCTGGGCTATATGAGTTTGGGACTGAAAAGAGAGGTCAGGGCTGGGATGTCCATTTGTTGGTTATTAGCAAACACAGAAATCTGAGTGAGTGTGGGATTAGAAAAACTGGAGAGATGGCCTGGAGAGATGGCTCATCAGTTTGGAGCATTTGTTGCTCCTGCACAAATAGAGCAGAGTTCAGTTTGTAAGATCCACATGGCAACTCACAACCATCCATAGCTCCAGTTCCAGGGGATCTGATGCCCTCTTGGCCTCTGGGGGCACCAAGTACACACATACATATGCAGGCAAAACACCCATACACACAAAATAAAAAGTAAACAAATCTAAAATAATTAAAAAGAAAGAAAAACAGACTGAAGCTGACCCCGGAAAGAGAGAATGAACATCCAAAGATATGACCAACCAGAAAAGCCTGGAGAGTGTGCTTGCTCTGGAAGGTGATATCCGAAAAACCGTCAGCAGAGTAGGGACAACAGAAGGCATGAGGACAGAGGAAGCAGAATCAGGACTGAAAAATAATTGTTAATTTGGCCATATAAATTTAGCTATGAGCCTTGGAAAGAACATATCCACTTTGTTAGAGTTGTAGAAGAAACAGTGGATAGGTTAGAAGTAGAAGTTTCTTTAAACAATAGAAGCTTTGAGGCCAAATTTGAATGACCAAAATAATAATTCAACAAAGGAGCAGACCGGGGTGACAGGAGAAGGTAAAGATGATTCAGAGGAAACAGGCACCAGGGTCTAGAATCATCAGTGTGTAGAAAGAGGACTTCCTAAGAAGGATGCTTCCTTATTCCAGGAGGATGTTGAATGCAGAAAAAAAATCAAGTTTACCCACCAGCAGTGGGAAGGTGGAGGGGGTGGTTACAAGCTGCTTATCTGTTTTCTCAGTTAAACGTCAGGCCAGCTTAGCATACTATTAGACCACAAGAAAGAGAGGAAAGGCCAGCTTTGAGAGCCCTCCTAGTGCTTGATCTCTTCATGCCTTCTGCTAAACTGAGTTCCTGAAGTCCCTAAATCCAAGAGTGACATGGGACTTTTGGGAATTGGTAGATAGCACATTAAGTGGCCTGTGGCTCCCACACTTCATCATCTTCAGTGGCCTTAGCTCACCTGCTCAGCAGGTACTGATGTCACGCAAGCCAGCCTTACCTCATAAAGTGCCCTTTGATGATGCTGCCAGCTGAGCTACTTAATGAGCAACTCCACGTGACATTTTATCATCTTTCCTTGGGGCCAACCATGCCCGAATATCAGGGCGGCATCCTATCATCCCATGGCTCTCAGATGTACAAAGATCAACAATAAGGTAGTGGTCTTGGCTCTTCTACACTATTGCCTCTGAAGGCCAACCCAAGTGAACCTATGGATGGATGTGGAGTGTGTGAAATCTCTGGGTACTGGGAAGAGTTATACACTTTTAACAGCAAACTTACTATATAAGCTTCTCATAAAATTTAAAGGATATCACCGACCTATACAAATGGTAATAACATATAACTTAATAAATAAGAAGTCTGCCTCAGATTGTACCGGAAGTTAGCACGACTCTGATAGAAACTGATACCCCTTCCGGGATTTTGTACCAGGGCACCTGTATTTTGCTTGCCGCTTCTTTAAAAGGACAAATGCTAATCGTTTGTTACTTCTGTGAGAGGATAGGATCACATGTTCACAAGCTGTAGACAAATTTCTAAACAGTCTTATTAAATAAGAAACACAGAGCCAAATATAGAGGTGCAAGCCGTAGAGATCAGAGCAATAGCCGCCAACTAACCTTAGCTTACCACCTCGCCGTAGCTTCCTCAGCTTCTTCCTGTCTAACCTGAACCTTTATTGCCTTCCTATTTTGCCTTCTCATTGGCTCTAAGCCCAGTCACATCACTTCCTCATCACTGGCTGTCTATACAACCTCCAGGTCTCTATGGTTGGTACTGGGATTAAAGGCGTGTGTCAGCACACTTGGCTGTGTCCTTGACCACACAGAGACTCTGCCTGCCATGTGATCGGATTAAGGGCATGTGCTACCACTGCCTGACATCTGTTTATGGCTCGCTATGTCCTCTGATCTCCAGGCAAAATTTGTTTATTAACATACAAATAAAACATCACATTTCAGCACAAATAAAATAGCACCACAACAAGCCAAATGTTATTTAGTCATACCATCATTAAAACTATCCGACGGCTATATTATTTAAAAGTGTATCTGTTTGGGGCTGTTGAGATGGCTCAGTGGGGAAAGATGCTTGTTGCCAAGGCTGGCAGCTGGAGTTGTATGTCCGAGACCCAATTGGTAAAAAGAGAATCAACTTCTGCAAGCTGACTTCTGACCTCCACATGCATAGATAGATACATATGATAAATAAGTAAATAAAACCCAATACATAAATGTTTGTAAAACAGTTAATCAATCTTAGGTCTTCGTAAGCCTGATTCTTCCCCTTACCCCATTT